ATAAACTCTTTTACACAGGTCTGTGTTGCAGACTCTCAAGTCAGTAGAAAATCAGCTCTTCTGCACAAATGGTTACAAAAGCAGGGCATCAAGGTCATGAGCATGTATCAGAAACTTGTACCCAGTGAAGAGAATATGAAACCAAAACCAATTCATCTAAATTTCGCTCAAATATAATTGAGCAGATCACTCTGAACAAGAGCAGTAAAGATACTTCCTATTGAAAATCATCATGTTTCTAAACTGGCTGTTATTTCTGGACACATAAATGTATGTAGCATGTGCATGCATGTTTGAATGTGGGTATATATACAAATACCTGGTGTTACTCTGGCAATGTGATGTCTGTAGCTGGCCTTCCAAGTTGTGCTTGTTCCAGGAAAAAGTAGCTTAAGATAGAGACACTGCACTGTCTGTCATAGTCATGTTAGTCTGTCATAGTAGTTTATGATATCAGATAGTTTGTCCTTTGACTTTTTATATGAAACTTATGTTCCTGGAGTAATGTGAATACCAACAAACCCCAGCTCTGCCCTGCCCAAAAAAAAACAAACAAAAAAACTATTTACAATCTTAAAAGTGGCAGACAAGATCTTGAATTGAAAACCTTTATATTAAAAAAATAAGGCAATTAAAGATCTGCAGAAGTGGGGATTAATTAGTTATGTGGTGTATATGCATATATTAATTAGTTATGTGGTGCATATATTTAAATCTCTTTTTTTGTTATTTTTAAAGATTGAGGTTAGAAGTCTTATGGCACTGGGCTCCTTCAACATTAGTGTTCAATTCTAGGTAATCACAAACTTTCAGAATCTGTTAGTGTTGCAGAACTTGAGTAATTTTAGTTTTACAAGTATGGAATCAATTAACGAGAAAGACATGGTCTCTCCTCTGAGTGCTTCAGCCATTTAACACTGCATCTTGCTGTATTTATTTTATGATTCTTTGGGCAGATATGCTAAAATACATGTAAACCACAGAGTGCGTTGGGTGATGTGGCATTTCTGCGCTCAGTTAAATAATAAGATGTTTTTTATTCAAATCAGAATAACATTAAGCCCTGAATACTAAACAGGGCAGCAAAAAGCCTTCAGCACACAAAATAAACAAGTAAAAAACCCAAATGAAACCGTCTAATAAATACAATGTGGATCAACAGGCTGCATGTACTAGAGGAATTAAGCCAATTTAAACCGTATGGGCAGTACTCCACTTTCAGATGTGCTCAGCTTCCAAGGGTCTCAATGGCAGTTGGATGCGTGCATCAAAAGGCAAAGTCTGGCTCAGAGCAACCGTGTGGATTTGATAGCATAGGTTTATGACCTTGTAATCCTAGAGCATCTAAAACAGTAAGAACTCTATCCAGCTTAAAATAGTTGCCATAGTTGCTGTTGATATAAGCTTGTGGGCTCCCCAGCTCTGGGGCCAAATTTGGTGCTGACATGACATGAGGAAGTCTGTTGACAGCTGATAGCAGTGGAGTCGTGCTTGATTACATCATAACAGATTTGGCACACGGAAGTTAATCAGAAGGCTTGGAAGAAAAGTGTCCATTCCTTATCCAGAGTTAAAACTGGGACCTTCACCATTGCCAGTCTGCAGAGATTTGTCTGAGCCTTGAGTAATCCCTTGCTTTTAAGGGCCTTGCTTTAAAAGTACAACCACTGAGCACTGTCATTTAAAAAAAAAAAAAAAAAAAGTGGATTTTCCTCTCAGGTCCACAAATATAAAGCCCCTAATCATGCCAGTCTAAGTAGCACAACTGGTCCCAAGGTAGCTGATGCACTGGGCTGCATGTGGGCTGCAGGGCCAGTGAGAACAGAAGAGCGCTGTCACCCCTGATTGCTGGGGTCATGTGGTGGCCAAGCAGACCTGATGGCAAGTGTGGCAAGTGGACAGCCCTGTAGATGCTCTCCTCCAGAAGAGCTGCCCCACGTTCCCCTGTGCTGGTTTGGCTCCTGGTGACTGGTGTGGTCGAGATGAACCACTGTAGCTGTGTCCCCTTCTCCCTTCTGGGTCTGAGTCTTTATGCTGTAAGACTCAGAGAGGAGGTTTTGCTGATGCTCTAAGTCACTCTTCAAAGTATTTCAAAAAATGAGATGATTAAAATAGTAAATTCAGTGATTTTGATGAAAAATAATTAAATTAATGAAAAACAGTTGAAAATGTGATTCTTCTGCTGAAACTGTGTTATGCAAGCTTTTAACCTTAGTTGCATTTTTGTGGTTCTTCTATAAACACCTAAGTGTATAATAGTGGTTTGTCATGGAAATTTTTTGATGGAAATTCTTAGAAAGAAAGGTTGCATTACATAATACTTTTTCTCTCCCATTATGTACAACTTAATATAATACACGTGTTCTTACCTGCTTCTTTTAGTAGCGCTCTTAATCTGTGGTGTTTTCAGTATTGGGAAAGAAATGAAAAAGATGCTCTTGGGGTTGGAGTTTCTCCATCATATTTTCTGCTTGCAGAGGGTAGGAGGGCAGGAGGGGTCTTTCTTGCAGGACTAATGGTAGCTTCGGGCATGTGTTGTGCACTGCAGAGGGCAGTGTCTGAGAAGAGCTGGGAGTATCACTGTCCTGTTTGGTAAACAATCTACCTGGGATCTTTCATCATCTGGCACTGGGTTGGGTAGGTTCTGCATATAGCACAGGCAGGCACGAGAAACATTTGCAATCAGGGTGAGCATTTCAGGGGAACAAGTCCACCAATTGTGCGTCCCTGTGTACCGCAAAGCAGTACACGTATGTACCATATGTGCAGCACTTGCAATGCATTCTAGAACAGATCAGTGTATTAGGGTTCCCTATGTATTTATGACAATTTTACTTGTATTTTATATTCCCTTTTCATGCAAAGATGTGGGGGTTTTTGTTTATTATCAGAAACTCTGATAATATGATGGTCACGTTACTAGAAGTAGAATGTAGTAGTTGTACATGTTGGAGGGCAAAAATAGGGGGCTTTCCGTGGGTGACCACATTGTAAAGAATGCCTTACAAAACATTCAGCCCTGAAAGGTCTGCTCAGTCTCTTTGGAGAAGTGCCAGTGGTTCTTCTCCTTGAGAGAGGAGCCACAAGCTTCATCCACAGTCCTGCACCAGGAAAATGTGTTGTCTCCTTCCTCCAGGCTCTTGCCCAAGGAGAGCATCCAGCCATTTGGGATAGGAGAACTCTGTGGAGCCACCTGGCTTGAAAGGCTTTTATTTACTGTGCTTCCTCTGGGGATCAATGTAAAAAAAAGCTTTCTGCCTAGGGAACCTTTGTGCAGACGTCCTTCATGAACTAAACATTTCAGAACAGAAAGACCTCCCCCTGGAGGTTTTCTATCTACTGATGCTCATATGTACCTAACAATTTTGAACCAAAATGAAAAAAAAAAAATCAAAGTAGTTAATAAAACCAATCATGATTTTCTCATAGGAGTGCTAGTACTTCAAAAAAATGCCATTAAGTGTAAACAGTTCTGAGATCTATACTTCTTGCACACCAGGTGTTAAGGCAGAGAGGTAAATCAGTTTTCCAAAAGCTTACTTATTAGGCAGTGTTAGGGCTAGGAACAAAACATAGGATCTCTACTGTTATTTTCTACTTTTCTGTTTTCTCCAAACCGTTGTGTGTGTGTGTCATTTTCAAAACTGAAATGTTAGATAGTGAATCTGCATCTGCACATTAACAATGTATTTCAGTTCATGTCAAGAGGCTGTTGTACAGTCACTTGAGTCTTTAGGACACATTTGGGAAGTTCAAATTCAGACTGAATTAGCTATACTAGCAACCAGTTCTATTGAAGAGACCTGTATACTGCAGAATGAGTGGTCAAAACAACTTGAGTTATGTGTCATTCAGAAGACAGTGAACCTCTCTCCTGGTTCTGTAAGTCAAATTTGCACTGACTCCTTGGTTACAAAGTAGATGCAAACTTGACTGATCACCAAAGTGGGCACCCTCTATGCATGGTGCTATGCATCCTTCCATAGCTGTAGGATCGGTGTATTGACTTGTTTGATTTTATTATCTTCTGTTCTAGAGACATTTTGGGTAGTGAAGGAGTAGTTTTTTTGGAACCCATTAAAGATTGGGTTACCCAGAGGCATGAGTGAAGTTGCTCTGAATTGTACCAGGTCCAAAACGGATTACAGTAAAGAACTAATGGCAGGATTACTTCTTCTCTGGATCTCTCTGTTCCTTTGTCTTCAGAGCATGCATCATGAAGGCATTGATTTTTGCAGCATTAGGGGAGTTTGGCTGTGTAAGAACTTGTGCATATTTCCTGGCAATTGTGGAGGGTGTCCAAACTGTGGGATTTTGGTTTACCTCCTCGTTCCATGCAGCTTCTTTCCCAGCCTGTGTCTGGACTCCATGCTAAGGCAGTACTGTTGAGGGTTCATCATCTTCCCCCTGTGTCCTGCTGCTGTGGTTTCTGCAAAAGAAAGCCTGAGGACACAAGTGTGCTCTAGTCTCTGACCTGAGCAATGGAGGGAGTTGTGTTCCTGGAGCAGCGAGCTGCGACTGCACCTTCAGTCCTAAATAGTTACTCAGCCTGGCAGCTCACGTGTGGATATATAGCCAGACCTGGCTCTTCTAAGTAGCTGAACTTGAAGCACCTTCAGAGCAACAGTGACATAGCTGAGAGCAATAATCATTTCCCTCAGCTAAAATGATTCGTTAGTGTTAAAATGTCAGGGCCATTAAAATGTGAGTGAGCCATTTAAAATTTGAGGACAATGGGCCTTATCCTTAAAAAGCTTTGAGGAAATTATGTTGATTCCAGTACCATTACCCATGATGCTTGAACAAGTGAAGTTTTGTTGTCTGGGCCTCCCATTTTTGTTAGTTGTATTTTATTGCTGTAATTACACCCAGTGGCTTATCTAATAGACTCATGTTCTCATAAAGAAATTAATACAATTAATACTACTTTTAGTGAGAGTGAAATAGTAAAAGTAAAATCGAATTGAAATTTGACCAAGCTCTTCTTTTTTATTTCCTAGTATCTGAATTACAGGAGGAAGGAATAAATGCCATTAACTTACCTCTCAGTCCGATTCCATTCGAACTAGACCCTGAGGACACTATGCTAGGTAATTCACAACAATTTTACATCTCAACATAAAACCTTGATGTAAAATAAAGTGTCATGCCTGTAATAGCTTCTAATATCTTCCTTTTAAACCTTCCAGAGGAAAATGAAGTCCGAACAATGGTTGATCCAAATTCAAGAAATGACCCAAAATTACAAGAACTAATGAAGGTAATGAAAAGCACATAAACACTTTATTGAAAGTGAAACTATTTTTAATGCTGTCCCTGCCTCTTTCATTTGAGTGCTTCAGAGCTTTGTTTAGATATTAATTAAATGAAACCACGTGGTGCATATATCCCAGTGAATGCAGGTCAGTTTTGGGGGTCTCTTTCTCTAAACATGGCACAAAAAAACTAATGATTTGAATTAAAATCCTGAGTTCTGATTCTTACTCCTATCCCACCCTGCCATGTAAAATCACATCGACCTCCCTCATTGTCTTTGTAATTCCTGGGGCTACAACTTACAGGAGGAAGCTTCATTAGAATCAGCTTCAAAACCTTTAGCTACACAATAAAATGTTAAAATACTACTGAAATCAAATGACAGATTTCACCTCAGAAAGCAATGCTTCAATCTTAAATTGGTCTAGACCGTGTGGTACATAGATGTAGCCACCTCAGACAAGTCCTTCCCGAGTCCTCCTTATTTTCTTCTGATGGCATTTCAGACTGATTGTATTTTGAGGCATTGCAGCTTTGGTATTCCTTCTGCTAAATATTTTCACCATTGTACAAAATGACATGTGTTTTAAATTGCAAATGAATAGTGTATAATTCTGCCAAATTTATGTTTCCTGTATAGGTATTAATTGACTGGATTAATGATGTGTTGGTAGGAGAGAGGATTATTGTGAAAGACTTGGCTGAAGACCTGTATGATGGACAAGTATTGCAGAAATTATTTGGTAAGAAAAAAATATATATGCATGGTGTTGGGACACTTTGTCAATAAGTGGTTCACTTGTTCCTACTTAGGAGCCTTGGTATCATCTTACAGTTATGCCACTAAGTGATATAAAAATAGCATTGTATTATGAGACCCTAGAGCTGTATGTACAGTCCTCATAGCCACAATGCAATGTGTGATGCTCTAGTTGATGAGAACAGCATAAAGCCTACCTGGGGTGCTAGAGAGTGCTGGAGTTCTTGTCTTGGCAACAACATTCACTCTGATTTTATTATCTGCATATGTGCTGTACAAAACTTAGCCATGTTACAAGTGGAAAGTAAGCTTAAAAGCAAGGGTATTTTCAGTACAACAGTACAATGGTGGATGTTTTTAATATGCGCTGGTTCCATACTGTAGTTTATTCACATCTTGGAGTTCCTCTGGAAAGTTGGAATTGCTTTCTGATTTGATGTCTGTCTCTTAACATTACTGAGGTAATGATACCCAATGGACTGCAGACTGAACTTCAGTTGAGAAACAGAGAAAAGAAACTGCTAATGCAGAGCTAGCATGTGCTTTTTTAACTGTTGGCTTGGAAGCCACTTTCTTAGTTATTACAGCTCATAAAGTCTCCAGTAAATTTCTTTTCAGTATCTTAAATGAATCCTGAAACATCACGTGAGCACTTCTAATAAAGACTACGTAGACTATTCCCTTTTATGAATGGTTAAGCTATTGGATATAAGGTGGTAGAATGAAGCAATTTGATTCTCATAGACAGACCTTCAGTGACTTCACCTAACACCTCCCCCCCCAAATGCGTAGCTGATTCAGCCTGACTCTAAATGTGTATATACTGATCCAGCACTTACTGATTTCAGTGGAATCTTTTCAATTATCCTTAATTTCTTATGGATTGGGTCTATGATATGTAAGGCTTTGGTTTTGTGAGGCTGCACAGACTGATTCCTGTGGAGACACAAGAATTCAATAGTAATAACAGCTTTTTAGGCAAGATACATAGGCTGATAGCCCAGAGTCACTGTCTTTGGGAAGGTATTCAATTGACTTCAGTGAGAGCAAGGTCAACTTTTACCAAACCTGATAATATATTATTTTCTAGAAGAAAATTGATAGGTGACCAAGCATTTTGTCTCTGTGTTGTTGTGAGGAAACTTTTACCACCAAATTTTCATTATTTCCTAATTAATGGTTATGAGTTACCTGACAGTTTTACGGAACAGTGGCAATGTCTTTTATACTCATTATAATGGAGCTTGTTTCTCTTCTTATACTTCCATTAAATCCATGGAGCAGGGTGTGTCCTCCTGAGTCATTGCAAACATCACATCCTTCCCTTTTCATGTGCAAATAGGTTACAGGTTTTCTTGTTGCACATCTGAATCTGTCTTCAGTTAACTGAAACCTTTTTCATGCTCACATTTTCTGTAGTTTAAAAAAGATACTACTTTTCAATTGATCTATCTAAACCATTACATGCTACTGTGTAGATACAGTTCATGCCAGACATTTATAAATTTTTCTGAAATCTGGTTAAAGCAATCTAGGCTGAGCTTATATAAGCATAGCAATCTCTACTAATTATTAACAAAAAATTTGTAAAATAATTTAAAACCTACTGCAAATTTTGAGTGCAGAAAAGGGCTATGATTACATAGAAATCAATTGCCCAAGGTTTTAGTTGCTTTCATTCCTCCAGAAATATTTCTTCAGATTTCTTGGTTGCTTCTTTCACCTGTGTGAATATGGTGCCAGTTGAATTCTATCACAAGTGAGCCAGGTAAATTTTTTACATCTTGAAAATCAAATGAGTCTTGGACTGATGACACAGATCTTCTTAAAGTTGGTATCTGTCTCTCCTAGGTTTGATTGTCTTCTGTGCAAGTCAGTTACATATAGAATACTCTTTTTCCACTATTAATAAAAGCAATGGGTCTTACCTCTCAGTCTGATGTTCCGTAAAGGGATTTGCAAAAAACTTTTATTAGCCTGTACTGTGGACTTAATTAGTATTTGGCCTTCCCCTTGGCAATGGGGAAATAAAGGACTGTGTCTTTAGAAGTTCAGAAGAGTTCAGGAAAGTGGTTTTGGAAGCAAAAGCAGCTAATGTTAAAACTGGGAAGTCTGATACCCCTTGAATGTACATCTGGCTGCATACAATTTTTTTGTGTTCCTCATGGATGTCCCTCATGAACTAGCTGTTTTTACTTCTATTATCACTTCAGAGAAACTTGAAAGTGAGAAGTTGAATGTTGCTGAAGTTACTCAATCTGAAATTGCTCAGAAACAGAAGCTACAGACAGTGCTTGAGAAGATCAATGAAACCCTTAAACTCCCGCCAAGAAGCATTAAGTGGAACGTTGACTGTAAGTTGCTTGTTTTGTATGCTGTCCCCGTTAGTTGGTAACTGAGAGTTTGTAGTTGCAATCTGGAATATGTAAATATCCAATGCTATGGGAGAGCTGAAACCTAGTATGTATTGTAGGAGCTGCTCTTCAGTAGGAGGTAAAGAAAAGGGTGAACACATACAGTACACTGTGCCCTTTTTCCTGCTGCTTAATCTCCAATTTAAATAAACTTTTAAGACCATATGCATAACAGCTTAAATTTTCTGTTAATAAATTGGTTTCCTGAAAGGGGTAAGAACATACATAAATGTAGTAGCTAGGCTGAAGGAAAGTTAGATTTACAGACTCTGCATTTGTTTAAGATGTACATCATAGATATTATTAATATTTCTGATCGTTTAAGACTAAATCTGAGCCACTGATTTTGGTTACAAAACCCCCATCAAGATTAGGACTGTCCCCTTCCTGTTCTATTTTATTAGAAATGAACATCATAATACCTACATAGAAATGACCAACACAAGGCATTTTAATGGATATGTGTTGCAGAAAGCAGGTTATCAACAGTTATAGAAAATTAGGCCTCTTGATCTGTTTTAAGTTTGGTATCTGGAATCATTTCGCCCTACTGAATACCTGGAATAGTATATAGCAGTCCCTATACCTGTCCTTAGCTGAGCTGTTTTGTGTCTTATGTTCTGTCCACAACAAATCTACGATAGGGATAAAAGTAGTTCCAGGGAGGGAGAATGAACGTTAGGCATCATTGACATTTGCTTCTGTGTGGTGCCACTGAGTTTTCTGCATCCTTCTCTCTCCAACCTCCTCCCCTCCCCCCCTTCATTTTTTGTATTTTCTATTACACAGCTGGATGCAGGGTGTTTGGAGCAGCCTGATAATTTAACTTCTAGTTTTCTTTTAATGTTTTGCATGTTTTTTAAAGCTAAAGTAAGGATAGGCTGCAGCAGCTGGAGCCAGCTGGAGCACACATTGATGCTAGGCAGACAGACATCTTTTTAGCATTCTGCTAAGGCACCTCCTTTCCTACCAGTGGCACCCCAGAAAAATTTGACAGTGATGTCACATTTTATATGTATGGATAGGTGGAGAAATCTCTACTGTGTAGTTGAGGCTTGCAATGGACGATAACTAGGAAGGAAGGATATGTTAGTGAATCTGATCATGCTGTACAGTGAAGTAAGGTACTTGTTATTGGCTAGTTCGTATGTAAAATTCACTGTACTGTAGCTATCAAAGATTGTTTTGGAATACTACTCTGTGGAAGGCTGTGAGTGCAAAATCAAAAAAAAAAAAAAAGAAAAGAAAACGTAATAAGAATTAGAATTATGATTCATTTTGATACCAGTAGTTTGATACTTGATTAAAAATTTCCTACAGTACGACTTTTGATATCTTGTAAGTCATGTTAGTGTTAACTACCCATATGAAACCTGCTGTGAAAAGGCTTCAGTAACAAGAACTATAACAACTTCATGAGGAATGTTTGAGTCATTGAGTTTAGTAAGTTATTGCTTAAGGCTTCTGCCAAAACAGATTCATTTATCATCCTGCAGACTTTGTGACACTTAAAAATGAATAAGTGCATGCTATGAATACAAAAATATCTTTCTGATAGTCCATAAATCCTTATTGAAATAAATGGAATAAAAAGAAAGGCAAGGAAAATGCATAGAGATCACTTAAGGTGTCGTACATGAAATCTGGCTTTTGGTTTAACTGTAGGTTTCCATGAAGCCTATGGCATCCAGACATATTGCAAAAACTAGTGCTTTGGTGCTGATGTATATTACTGACGGGGCAGCTATCACATGGCCTGTTGAACAGGAGGAGACAAATAAAGGAGAGGTGCCTTAAAAGTGCCCCTGGCTTCAGGTGGCAAGAGGAGAGTTGTATAGCCCTACAATCTAAAAAGTGAAAAATATGTGCACTAGTTGCTTGCAGTTTGTAACTTGTACTTTTAATATCTATTTCAGCTGTTCATGCTAAAAGTCTTGTAGCAATACTTCATCTTCTGGTTGCATTATCACAGTATTTTCGAGCACCAATCAGACTCCCAGATCATGTGTCCATTCAGGTTGTTGTTGTGCAGGTAAGAGAGATATTAAACAGCTTCTGGCAGCATTGAGAAATTGACTGAGGTTTTTTGTTTGTTTGTTTTAGTTTTTTGTTTGTTTGTTTTGGGTGTTGGTGTTGTTTTTGTTGTTGTTTTGTTGCGTTTTTTTTTTTTTTTTTAAAAAAAAGACTAGAGTTTCTGCTTGGACATGCATGTGTCTCTCTCCATGGCTGACAAGAAACACACATACGTCTTCTCTGCTGACAATGCTACAACCAGAAAAAGGCAGAAATGCTTTGTCAAATTGAACTGTGGTTCAGGATATCATATTTTGATTGTGAAGTGTCCAGACTGTGACATGAAAAATATATGAAACATTATTATTGTTGGAATGCATTTTCTTATCACCCAATACATATCTTGAATTACAATTTTTCCCATTTTTGACGGTCTTCTCACTTGTGTAGAGGTTCAAATCATTCTTGGCACCGAACGATGAATTGTCACTGTTTATTACATTCAGATTCACGTTAGGTGGCTAAATATTCTTTTTCAGCCTTGTGCATGCTAATTTATTCTGATTACAGTGTTAGCTTTCTCATAAGCATGCAAAAAAAAACCTACAACTAAATTTTTTTGTCAGTGAGTCTCCTTATTAGAGCCATGGCCATCCAAACTCTTCATTTATTCTGTTTATTATATTACTTTGTTGGATTTGTGCTTTCTCTATCTTGTTTGGCTTCTTCCCAATTAATTTGCTTTTCTTTTTCTCCAACTAATTTTGCTTTTCTGTTTCACCCTGTAACTGTCATTATTTATATTTTTAACTGGTGTTATCCGTAAGTATCTTGTGAAAAGAGCTGTTACTCAAATTTTGTGTGACTGAAAATGTGGGCAAGATCTGAGAAAGTAACCACTTCTTACTGCATTCACAGCAGACGAGTTTTGTATTTTGGGGAGAAATTTGAAGGAGTTCCTGGTACACGTATCAGTGACATCTGAAAACCAGTTTACTGACTGTCATATTCTACTTGGTGGTTTTCAAGGCATGAGAGATAACCCCAACCCCAGAAAATCTGCAGTTATGTGTCTAAGACTTTAGAGGAACATAATTCTCAAACAGTTTCCTTTAGATATTTTAAATATATTAATTACACTGGTTTATGTCAAATTTCTACCAAAACCAGCTTAAGAAAGAAAGAGTGCACCAGTCAGGGCATCTTTGGAATAAGAACCTAAAAAAGAACAACAACACAGTCCTTAAATAAAAAAACAGATCTTGCATTCTGCTCTCTGTCCACATGTCGAGACAAAAGTCCCATTGAAATCAATGGACGTAATTCTCATCTTGTTTAATAAGCTAATGTAGTTCAACAGCAAATCCACTGAAGTCAGTAAAGATAAACCGATTTAAAAACAGTAAGTAGTGGGAGAATCTGGCTCAGTGCTTTGCCTCTGAGCTACACAGCTGTAGCTCAGGCGCCAGTGGATTGCAGAGAAAGCAGTTGCACCAGAATAAAATCCAAGTTATGTTGTTGAAGATTTCACCCAGTCCTTGATGAAAGCCAATCAGTGGGACTCCAAGGCTATGCTGATTCCCATTAACAGAGGATGGGAGCTAGTATTCTTGCTATAATTGTGCTTAAGACTTTTTTCATTTTTTTAATGGAGGGTGGTTTTTTTATTTTTATTTTTTAAAATCTGTCTTTCATATCCTGTGGGATTGGTTCTTTATTATTCATCATGTATACCCTTTGATCTCAATGAAACTTTTAATCAAAAACCTAAAGCCTACTTTAGTGTTCAAACTTTCACACTTGATGTTATAAACCCTCACGCAATTCTGTAAAGTAAGGTCATGCCTAGGGAAGCTCAACAGACTCTGGTAGCTGCTTTTAAGTCCTATACAGTTAAGAAAGGGAGTGGTAGAGAAAGAAAAGTAACAGAAGAAATAATTTTGAGGAATTCTTTCAGGAAGTCTGCCTTAATTTATATTATGATTTTGTTAGGTCTAGAAATGCCAAAAATGTTTGCTGTGTTGGCTGAGCATAGTTTACTGAAATACAAAGATATTTCTGAAATAAAAAACGTGTTGATGCCCAACAGGTAATCAGCACATGTCTTATGAAAGCTTATTTTCTTTGGCTGTTTTGTACAAGAGCTGTTAGTGATGAGAGTACTATGAAATCCGTGTGTTAAGCTGTTTATGAAAAACCATGATACTTGGACCTTTTGTAGCTGTTTTGCTACATTGCTTTTCTTGCTTTCCATACTGATTGAATGAATAACTTTGAGCAAAGTCCAGGCTTTCTTTGGACTTCTCTACTAAAACAAGAGAGGGTTTTTGTGGAGAGCTGGATCTTGCTTTCATTTTTGTCTCTTTTATTCTTGATTTTGTAATTTGCCATCCTCAAATGGTTAAATGACAGATTTTGTCCAAGAGCTGAAGTCAGAGAGTGTAAAGTCGCAATGGTGGAGCAGTCAGGGTAGCTTCAATATATTCTGAATATTGGGGAAATCAGTTCTTGGGTGCACAAACCACTGTAAAGGAAAGCTAGGAAAATAATGGGAGCAGAGGAAGGTCTATTTTACAAGCTTAGTCTGATAACATTTATCCCACAGCCTCTCTGAAATCGAGTCTGAATCGTGTCTGAGCAGCATTGCCTACAGGTTCCCAGGAAATCTTTTTTTGAACCTATGACAAATGGTGTCAAGCTCCAGAATGGTTCTGCACTTCGTCTTGGTGGGGCAGTTACAAAACACGGTCCACCAGATTAAATGCGTAGCAACAGTACAGAGGGAAAACCCATTCAAACATTGGGAAGATTTTCCAAGTGGGACTTTGTGAGAGAAACTAAGCAGTTGGCCCTCAGTTATAGAAAACTGATGGTGTGCAGTTGATGCAAATAGAGGTGAAGAGATCCTTTCCATGTCTAGACATGCTACCCAGCTTTCAGATTTTTCCTTTTGTCATTCTAGGAGTAGTTGCCAAATTATAATGATAAGTGATCAGGAAGATCTTGGCCTTTAGTGTGCAGTCTTTCAGCTATGAGGGAGCAAAATGTTAAGCCTATCCAAATAAAGTCTTCCGTGGTCACTGGAATGTGAGTCCAGGTTTTCCATTTAACGGGGAATCTTTGAATTCATGCCTTATTTCTCAGTATGTTTCAAATAGTAGTTGTTCATTTTTATCGTTTGTTATTTTAGTTCTAGCCCCTTTTATCTTTATGGAACTTTGCTGAGCAGCCTTTCACTCCTCACTAGCATTTCTTTTTATTCTGGGGAATATTGTGTAATTCTCTGTCAAGTTTAAAACAACTTCACAACAAGTGACATCAGTGTTAGGGTCACTTTTGAATCTGAGAGTTTTTAAAAGTGAAAAAGATATATGGAAAGCAGCCTGCATAGAGAATGTACTTAGACTAGTATTTCTGAGGTTGATTCATGTTGTTGGGACATTTTCACCAGTCATCTTACAAGTACAAAGCATAGGAAAGTCTGTCTTGACACATGCTGGTGTCCAGAAGATGCATGTTGTGTTTGGGTAATGTGGAAATTCCATTTTTGTCAACAATAGGATAGAGGTTCAGAATTCCTGTTCATATTAATATCAGTTTATCAAAAAGTGAAATATGTTTTATGTTGATACTAGAGAATGTTTTAGGCCATGTTGGGCATTTGCAGAGTGAAGGTAGAGTTTTAGAAGCCTTTTTTTTTCCCTAATATCAGCAGACTGAGCACTGAGAAATACAATTGCCATCGCTGTGATGCTCACCCCCTCTAGGAGAGCAGAGTGATAGGGCTTTTGCTCCAGAATCCGTTATTGGCACATCAGAATCACCATCAAGGAATAAAATCTTCCCTTCACCCTGCAGCTGAGAGAAAAACAAAAACAAACAAACAAACAAGCCAGAGTGTAATTTTAACTTGAGCTAGACTGTAACTTCAAGTACAAATGCTTATTTGTTGTCTGCACAACCTGAAGATGAAGATAGCCCTAAATGATGCAAATTTTCTTCAGACTTTCAAGACATATGACAGAAGGGGCCTCAGCAGTTGATCTATGCTCCGTTCAGTATGTAACACACAGGACACCTCTCTGTCTTTATGTTTAGAGCTCCTCCTTGAAAGTGTTTTAACTATATGCAAGATATTTAGTAACAGGGCTTAAAAAATATTAAGAAACCCACCTGAAACTGTCATCTGCCTAAAAGGACAGTTCAGATTGTTCTAAGTGCCACTCTGAAGTAACTGAGAGGATGCTATGTGTGACTTCCTTGCTGAAAGTAAGCGTGATCCTTATATATCCATATATATATATATATATATTTTATTAATGCATTTTTGAAGTAATTGAGACAAGCCTGGCCAAATTCTCAGCGCTTCATACACCTTCACATACATCCCTCACACCTCTGGTGAGGGATGTATTATCTTCTTCAAAGTAGGTAAGAACAGTAGCTCCAGTTCACATGCCATGAAGGACTTTTTCAAAATGCTATTCTGCTTTTCTCTTTTCTACAAAGAATACAAATCTAGGACCACAATAAAATTATTTTTCTCATTTCCTTGTGTGACACAGAGTGAAGAATCATGAATAATTGCCTAATGTCTAGACTTTATATGCAGCCGTCAGCATTTGCTTGGCATTTCTTTTTGTATTGCAAAATTTTACTAATTCCAGTGAACAGAATTAACAGAAAGAACACGAAGTGAGGCAAAACATATGTGTGGTATGTATACCACCACCATATGACTATAATCTTCATCCTGGAAACAATGTCACATTTTTCAACTCCTTCGTTTTGTGACAAACTGCAACCATTTGAGTTGGCTTCTGCCATTTTGTGCACAACTTCTATGCACAGGCTGCTAACCACCACGTACAAAGGGCTTCTTGCATTGGAAGAGCATTGTTATGTTAACATAAAGATGGCCAGGCTTTGGAGCATGCAGTGAAAGGATTATCCTACATTTTTTGTGTTGAGAGAAGTCACAAAAGGAAAATGCTAAGGTTAGAAAAAAAAAAGAAAAAAGAAAAAAAGTGTATGAACAGGGCAGAAAGAACGGGTAGCCTAGGGGCAAGATTTCACCAAAGATGAAGCATGGGCACCCTCTGCCACAATATTGATTGAAATACAAGGTTTAATTCGACTCACCAGGATACAGATCTACTAAAAGACTTGCATATGTGTTTAGGTGTTTCAAATATCTTGCTGAATTGGGGTCTTTAAAAGAAAAGTGAGTTAAGAACAATAAAAAAAGGAAAAGAAATACTTCCTTCTACAGGTTGAGTTTCAAGTTTCTTGTTACTGTACAAGAGAGTTTTTTGAAATACTTGAAAGGAGAAATAATACATTACTGTAAGTTTGTTTAAAAAAGTTCTTATTTTGTAGGTTTCATATCTAATTATGTTTATACAAATCAAACACATCACAAATATATTTTTACTGTACCCTAAACATTAAACTTTACTGAGAAAAATATTACTTTTTTATTTTTTTCCAGAAAAGAGAAGGAATCCTCCAGTCTCGTCAAATCCAAGAGGAAATAACCGGTAACACTGAGTATGTCAACACCACTTCTGCCAGCAATTTAGTAATTGAATACAGATGTGTCTCAGAAATTCAACCATTTGCTGATATTTAGATTTTGGTATTGGGGTTCCAAGGAAGATGATGCATCAGCCAGTGATTGTATTTCAGTCCTTGCAAGAGCTACAAACATGCATCTAAAAATACAAAAGGATGTGGAAATTCAGAGCTAGGGAATTAAAAGCAGGAGACCAGGATAAAAGAGAAGACAGGGTGAAGATATTCAAAATGTCTGTATTTTATATTTACTATTATTTATTTCTGCATTTATTGCATTTCTTATTATTGTATTCAGAATGCCATCAAACAAACTAGAAAGATATATCTCTTTTATGTTGGTATTTATTTGATAGAGAACAACTTGATTCTGTCAAAAAGGAGTACAATGTGACTATTTTTTAGTTGTTTGGACTTTGGGGATGTAAAGTGACAGTAGTAAGCCCTGTACATGCAATCTCATTAAGCCATTTGTAACAGAAAAGTTATTCCAAACCAACAGAAAGCAATCGTAGAATACCCTAGTTTCTAATAGATTGGAGAGGATCCAGACTAATAACTTTTTTATTAACCTTTATGGATTTATTTGTGCAATATTTATATGAGGGATCAACTAGAGCAAAATGCTGTACTTCTTAATAAGGTAGTCCAAGTATTGTTCTGGCTGCAATTTGTATTGCAGCTCATGTGACAAATGCATCTTTAAAGCAAAGGGAAAGTTTTCAGAAAATTAACATGAAAAAGCATTCTTCACTGGCAAGGTGTGTTGATTTGGTTCAGCAGTAGGAAACCTGAGATCTGGCTTTTCCATGAAACTTTTGTGAAGCCAGGAGATACTATGCTGATTAGTCTCCAGACTAATCCGAAGTCTCATCTGGAGTAATTTAATGAAGGTTTTCTTAATTCCATGAATCTCCACCAGTTTTCACCAAGCTGAAGATCTGGCCACATAATGCTGTTTTATTTTGCAGGACGTGTGCAAGAGAATCATATATGTAAACTTTTTTTTTTTTTTTTTTCTCCTTAGGGCATTTTCAGGAAGGCACGGTAAGTTCATTTGATTGTTAGCTGTTTCTTAAGGCATCCAGAGTAGACATTAGTTTTGCAATGGGTGGTCATTTTGATCAATCTGCAAGGAAGTAGAGGATTTATAATTGACCTGGCAAACATATGAATGTATGTGCCACAGACTGTTGTGACAGTTAACAAAGGGAGAAAAGCATTAAAGTCAGTCTGACTATCTTTAAAACGCATTTCAGTACTTTTCAGCACATGTTAATTTGCAGATGCTTTATGGTTTAACATCCAGAGCATTACTGTAATGGTATTAATGGTCATAAGTTCACAGCATAATATGAAATGATGTCTTATGGTAAACAAGCTGCTGTACTTGTTGGCATTCTTGCATATGTTACCTACTTACACTTTACTGACTTTGGGTTGTTATTCAGCAGGTTCCTGTACCTAGAATGTTTCATGATTAGTATTGAGACTGGCCAAACGCCTGGCCAACAGAAAACATATATGAGGAGTTTAGATGGAGTTCCACCAAGAATTTAGCATTTGCTTCTTACATTGTTTCAACGATTGCTTTACTGCTGAGTTAAAAAGCTACATGCATGACCTTTTTCCCATGATATCGCAGTGCAGTCTTACTTCCTTTAAAGTCACCCTTCTACAAATAACCTTTGGATGTACTTTAGCAGTTTTCATTCAGGAATATGAACATAGCTTTTTCTGAGTCGTTCTCTATCACTCAGTTCTCTGAAAAGGTTTTTTTTTGTTTTTTTTTTTCTTTTTTCACCTTCAGAAGGTAACCACAGTACTGTTGCAGTCATTCTGCCCTATGTTGCCTGTCCTAATAATCATGTACGAAATTGCATTATCAGAATGGTCGAAAAACATCTATAAGAAAGATTGTTTTGCAGCTGTATAATTGTAAGCTTGCCTGAGGTGATTAATACAGTGTAGCACTCCACAATGCAATCCACTGGGTGATACCCACATATTGTGGCCCTTGTGGAAAATTTTCGTCTGTAGATGTGACTCCAGAAGTAAACCCATGTTCTTCTTAACAAAGTAAGCTGGTTACCTAACTCCCTGTATCTGGCTGTTCAGGGTTTTATGCATAAGTATTCCACCCTAGGAAATTACCTAGGTAACTCTAGTTACCTCTAATTACCTAGGTAATTAGGTAATTTGAGTTATACTTGAAAACATGCTTTCCCTAAATAATAGCAACATAGGGCAAGAGAGAAATATGCAAAATGCATGGTACTTGGAATACAAAGAGACTATATTGAAACATTTTGCTGAGTCTTGTCTCAAATAAGCATGTGCTTTAATAAGTGTTTATCCAGCATCTAGACAACTGCTTATAGGTACATTAACATCTCTGATTTTTTTCAGAAAGAGATGCATTTGACACTTTATTTGACCATGCTCCAGACAAGCTCAATGTAGTAAAAAAGGTTAGAAGTATTTATTTTTAAAATACATAATATGTATCTACATGCTTGTGTGAGTATACGTTGTGTGTGTGTGTGTACTTAATATAACATTGACATAGTTTGTATACATTAAATAGCACTAAGCTTTATGCTGGAAAGAAAAATACAAATTCATGAATATAATGTCAGTTTTTGTAAATATTTAGCAGCCTGAAATTAACTTTGGAATGCAGAAAAAGATACAGTTATCATCAAAGTTTTCATCAAAAAGGAGTTCTCACAAAGTATATGTTGATTAAAACTCAACTGGGTTGATTAAGTTCACTGATGCCAAAGAGTTACACAGTTTATCACTGCCAGGGGTCTGACCTAGAGTATTTTGGTTGCTGTCTAATTTGAGTGGAGTCCGATTACCCACTTCCCTACACTCTGCCACAAGTTTTTTTTGAATTATTATTATCTCTTTTACAAAACAGTGAAATTTGTATTTATATACATCATGTTCACTTTATTTCTGTTCATCATTCTTAAAAAAAAAAAAAAACAAAACAAAAAAAAACAAAAAAAACAACAAAAAAAACAACAAAAGATTTTTTAATGTAGTATTTCAGCTTTAAAACTTAAAAAAATATTGTATTGCAGTCTCTTTGCTCATGCAAGTTCTGTTCTGAGTGGAGTTCATTCTGTGCATGGAACTGCTGCCCTATTGAATAGACCTTCACTAAACTATTTTCACATTTCAGACTCTCATCACATTTGTGAACAAGCATCTCAATAAATTGAATTTGGAGGTCACTGAACTGGAGACCCAGGTAGGATTTTACAGCCTATGTTGAAGGGGAGGGATACCTGCACTGTTATGACTCCATCTTTATTGACAAATTCCATTGACCTTTTATTGATAGGATTCTAAGATGTTACTTCACTGGAAAGCCCTTCAATTTTAAGTATGTTCGTATGAGTAAAACCCTCAACAATTAAGCATAGAAATCATAAGGGCAGCCAAATTACTCTTAGAGCAGTTTTTTACTTTCATTCGCATAAAATGTATTTAACAGATGCTACCTCTTGGGTGCTGGTAAGTGCTGTTGGGAGAACCTGTGCTTGTTTGGGTCAGCCTCTGTCTGCTTGGTTTGATACAATTTCAGTCTGAACAGTTGTTTCCTGCCTACCTTTACACATGCCAGTAATCCCATGGGATTGCAATGACTATTTAGTGAGACTAAACCTGCTCAAGTGTATAGGCAGCTGTACAGCTGGTCTGCAGGCTAGATTGCACCACAGAATTAATGTGGTATACAGTCTTCTTTCTTGTTCTAAGCTGCTAAATTGGGTGGAAAGAAGCTAAAAGAAAAAATTTATTCTGTGGTTTTAATAAATCGCTATATGAACAATTGCAGCAGTTACCATAAGAAAATTACAAGGTCAGACAGGAAGGATGCCATCCACACTATCAGAAAAAAAATGGTGTTTTCAAGACAGTTTATTTTATGTCATGTTTCATGTTGTTATGAATAGGGTTAATTTGAATAACTATCACTCCAATAGAGATTATTCAAAGGTAAAATTGAGATTTAGATGGAAAGAATGTGTAAGGGTTTTCAGAAAGATATCACTGTGACTGTACATTGCATTGTTTACCTTTGGAAAAAAATGTATTATTTAAATGTGCTGAGAAACACCTTAAGTGTGTATCCAAAACAGCATTCTGTAAGATGAGAGACTGTATTTCTATCAATTGAGAGAAAATGAGCTACCTCAGGAAGGCCGAATCATAGAATCATTTAGGTTGGAAAAGACCCTTGAGATCATCAAGTTCAACTGTCAGCATAACACCACCAAGTCCATCACTAATTATCAAATCACAGAATGACTCATGTTGGAAGGGACCTTAAAGGTCATCTAGGACCTTAAAGGCCATGGGAAGGGATGCCACCCACTAAATCAGGTTGCCCGGGGCCCCATCCAACCTGGCCTTGAACTCCAGGGATGGGGCATCCACAGCTTCTCTGGGCAACTTGTTCCGGTGCCTCACCACATTCTGGGTGAAGAATTTCCTCCTAACCTCTAATCTAAATCACCCCTCTTGTCCTGTCATTATCTGACAGAGCAAAAACCATTCCCCCTAGTCCTGTCATTGTCTGACTGAGCAAAATGTTGCTCTCCATCTTTTTTTTTTAAAGGGTGCTTTTTTTTTTCTTTGATTATGAGAATATCTCAGTGCACTGATAGACCTGATGCTACAAGGTTAATAGCGAGATGCCTTTAACAAAGTCTTACAGATGTTTCTAATTTTTAGATTGAGATGAACATGTATCATAGCAATTAGTTATCTTCTATACATCACTGCATACACTGAAAATTAGATTCACACAAACTTATAAAACATAGAAGATGATTATTTGTTCCTTTATTTCCTTCAACATATTGAATTTCCGTGTGGTCATGAGATTGCACCTTCATTCTGCTTCCTTCTGCTCAGGGAGTGCATGCCATTTGATATATTGAGAGGTGTCTTTTCTGATTGCCTGCAACCAGCAGAATAAAAAGCAAAAGCATAGATCAAAGCCACTGACCACTGCTCTCTCCAGGAACTTTATTGTGTATTCAGAAAATATATTGAGAAATATCTTTTCTACAGTTTGCAGATGGTGTGTATTTAGTCCTGCTAATGGGTCTCCTAGAAGGCTATTTTGTTCCTCTCCACAGCTTTTTCTTGACTCCTGATAGTTTTGAACAAAAGGTAATTATATTTTTTTTCCTGTTAAAAACAAAGAAACAAAAATGTCTAGTAGCACAAGGATAATACGAACTTCCCTGCACAGGCTTCATGTAAATAGCTGAAATCAGAAGAGGGCTATCCTCATAACCATTTCCAGGCATTTTTCAGATCTCTGTGTTACTGGTTATTCAGAATAAAAGGGAGAATTATATTAATGACGGGGTGTCTAGCAAATATTAACTGATTTTGGCAACCATTGTGTGATGCTGTCATTGAGCCAGACTTACTGTCCATTAATTGTGTAAAGAACCATACACATGAATTGATGACAGAACTGATTTTTTAAGTCTAAAAATCAAAGAATTTGACATTTCAAAGGTTTAATGTTTTTTGGAAGCATGAAGGCATGTATGTACTATGCATCATTTTAAGACCAACCGTTACTGCAGTGTCTGTTGCTATCCAAGCAATTCCAATGTCTGTTCGAGACAAGCACATCATGAGCCATCACGTTCCAGTTTTTAAACTTGGGGGAGTTGGGTTATTCTTATTGTTAAGTATTTTTTTTTCTATGTGAAATATTAGTTCAGATGTTAGTTTTCAGTTATTTCTGTATTTTTGAAACCACCATCACCACACAGAAAAAAAAAAACACAACAACAATGGATTGTTTAAATTGATATGTGGAGCCCTGATATTTATTTTTTTTTCCCCTTCGAAGCATTTTTTTTTTTTGAACATTTATAGTATACTGTTTATAGATCATTCTAATGACTTCTTATATTACATTACTAGGTCCTCAATGTATCCTTTGCATTTGAGCTAATGCAAGATAGTGGATTGGAAAAACCAAAGCCAAGACCAGAAGGTATCTATTCCACTTTTCCTGGTATTTCTCTAGAACTTTGTGTTGGATCCAGACCTTTTCTCATGGGGGTTGTGATATGAATAAATTAAGGTTAAAATGGTAATACAAGAAAGGCAAGATGCATTTTGAAGTGCTCAGGTCGTGCTGCAATTTATGTGACTAATAGATACCCTTGTTCAAACGTTGCAAGGCTTGATTTCTTGAATGACCGGGATAATATTTGCATGACCGATCACATGCAGTAATATTCAGATATCCAATGAAAGTAGAAGAACGTAATTGTGAACGGTGTCACTTGCAAATATGAATTGCTCTAATTGCTCCATTTTCCTGTTCCACATCTTTATGCTAAACCTCAAGTACATGTATTCCAGTGTAACGTACACGATTTTCTTAAAAGATGTAGGTGTTGTGGAAAAAAAAAATTAAAAAGTTCACTTAACTGTCTTTGAGTGCAGGACCTAAACATGCATATTTTAAATCAGATTTAGAGCTAGAAACTGAAAGTAAAGCATGTCTTCAGTGAAGGTTTTGTTGCTGACATTAGCAGGACCAGGATTCCACTCCTCCTCAGTCACATAAATGCAAGGTTTAAATCCAACTTTTCAGGCTGGATATAAGACCCTTGATTTGCTGTAAGTGTTCCATCTTAACAGCAGTAGGCATGCACACACAAAAATTGTCTCAGGATTAAGCCTATGCTGCTTGTGCATTTAATCTGGATTTACTCAGCCCATTTTTTCACTTTCATTGGTCGCTTGAACTCTTATCCACAATCATGCATAACTACACCAGTGGTGACTGTGTCACAAATTTTTATGTTTGAAAAAGTCATAGAACCACAGATAGAACCACAGATTCATCTAGGTTGGAAGAGACCTCCAAGATCATCAAAAAGAAAAGGGGGAAATAGTGAAATCCATGGATCCAAGTAAAACAGAGTACCTGTGATCCCTTACTCCCCATGGAGGTTTAAAATTCTTATGGCATTTAATTTTTCAGGTATTTATTGCTCTAGGGGACAGCTAATTTTTCCAGTATAAATCAAGCCATAAGGATATTTCAGCATATATAAGACATTTCTTGTGCAATTATTGAAATACTTAATATGAAACTTCCTGCCCAATGTGAATGGAAAAACACATCTGTTTTATGTGTTGTTACATTGGGCACAGTGCCCATACTTAAAATTTCCAGAGAGCTAAAGAGTATTGAAAAGGATCTTACCCCAGAAGTATATACTAAATACTCTTTAAATTCCTGCACTGTTTCTTTGAGGTTCTTGGGGAAAAAAAAATGCTGAAAAGTGCTTCAGAATATGAAAAACATATTTAGTGGAAAAAAGAATGTGGTTAAGTAAGTGAGTATGAAAACCAATGATTTTTATGGGGTCAACAGTTTATTTGGCTTGTTTGCAATATAATTGAAAGGGTTTTAAAAAGCTTTCCATGACCTCTTACTTTAAAAATTGCCAGAACATTAATCTACTGAGTCTATAACAAATTCATTTGCAGTTTGAGTTTTTTCAGATTACTTCTTGAAAAGCCAAACTTAAGTTTCTCTTTTTGAAAATTTCAACCAGTAAAATGCTTTATGTTAGTCAAACACAATTAGCAATGGAAATAACTCATCTTCCTCTGTGAGCATACTGCTTTTTAGTGTGGACCTTTCTGTGGAATTCTGTTGTGGTGGTGGAATTTTATGGTGACTTGGCAAATACCTGTCAATTTATCTCTTCATTCATGTGAAGTTCTGTATTAGGAAATGGAGGTGTTATGCAGCTTGCTGTTGGCATCAAAGAGGAAACTTCCTGAGATATATACAGTGTTCCATACAGCGTGTAATATGATGTTGTAGGGCAACATGCCCTTCCTGTAGCTTTTAGCATTTTTTCTTCATTTTATAGTAAGCATTTTTGATCTGGTTTATTAAAAGTCACAAAACCATGGTTTCATACATAATTTAATCACGACATCTAGGTTTGATTGTTTTCATTTTGTCCACAGGTGTCAGTGTGCCATGTGGCTAATATCTTTAGCCCTTCAGTTAGCATACTTTAGGACACCATGCATAGCTCTGACTGGATGTATTGTTCAAAGTACAACCCCTTTGCAATCTGTGAGAAGCATCAGTATAGATAAATATAATGGCAAAACTGACAAAATCACCTGGTGATTACATACACAATTTACTAGGTTTACTTGGAGGCTTTGAGAACAGTGGGAGTATGCACACCATCTGCCTTCTGCCTTCGTGGACAATTCCAAGGACCAAAGTTAGGAGGCTGAGTTCCTATACAGTCAACAGAAAGAGATGGGGCCTTTCTGACGGGCAATTCTAAGTCCCTATTTGAGACTGAATATTTCTTGAAGCACTAATGTAGGCTGCTATAGTAGTACATGTCAGTTTGTTTTATAGATTTCTTGTATAATAATATTGACTTTCTCAACAACTTCCCTTGGAAACAGCAGGTATTCATTAGCTTTTTGTTTCACATAAATCATTTACCTTACATGTTGAGTGTCTAACAACTGATTCAGCCATGCACATCAGCGTTTTCAGAAAAGTCTTCAAGGGGCACTTGTATACCTAGCTTTTTAGAACCTTTGGAAATTTTCAAACAAGATGGTTGCATTTCTACATCATCAGCATTAGCCATTTATTTTCCTAACTGAAAGTGGTTGAGAAAATTATGTTTGAGTTGACAGTTTACATGTTATTTGCTTATATTTCTACTCTTTTTTACTATTTTTGTGATTCTAATGTTTATGGATATGAATCTGAGCAAAGAGAGGAAATAGAGAAGGGGCACTTCATCTGAAAATGTTTTGGCTTATGAAGTTACTAATAGTTTTTTCCTTGTCTTTTTCTAGATATTGTAAATTGTGACTTGAAATCTACACTAAGAGTACTATACAACTTGTTTACCAAATACAGGAACGTGGAGTGAAGAATTAATTTGGGACGTCTTAACAAAGAAAGCATCATAACTAGCGTATTTTTCATCAGTATTCCTCTGCATCTTTGTCCTAAAAGGAGCTAAACCGTTTATCTGAAGAATCTTTAATTGACTATTCACACACATCTATTTTCATAGAAGGTTTAAAGCTAAGGCTATGTAACACTAATACAAATTATGAAAAAAAAAAAAAAGTTTCAAGGAAGGTACTTGGTTATCTTCTCAGAGAATCCATGTCTCAATAATAACTGCATCATCACACTGTTTTGTAATAGGTGGAACAGCAATGAAAAAAGATTTAGTAACTTTAGTTCAAGTTAGACTTTGAAGTCAAACATAGGAACTTTCTGTATGAAGCATCTATTTTAACATTTTTATGTGTATCTTTTCTAATCTGGGGAGGGGAAGAATATTTGCTGTCCATGGTAAGATGGTTGCATTCTAATTATGAGAAATATGCATGGGGAGAAACAGTTAAATACTGTTCACATCACAGCTAAATAGAACAGACTTATTCAAGCACTTAATCTGATTAATTTATTTAGTTAGGTTTGAATTTTATGGGTACAAACTGATGTTGCTACTTATTCTTTCAGTCTTACTATAATGTGATACTCTGCTTTAACTATGTATTATTGAACATTCCACGAAATACACTTTGCAGCTTGTTCACTCAATTTTGTTCAAGGAATATATCTTTCTCGTCCTCTCTTTTTTTTTTTCCTAAAGTACACATTTCAGGATAGCACACCTGTATAATAGTTTCCCCATATTATTTGTATTAGCATAGTATTAGAAAGTAAAAGAATGGCTTGTTTTTCTTTTAGTTGTTGGAACACAGGATTCCCAGGTTTTAAATTTAAATTTATTGCTAAATAAGATTTAGAATCTGTTCCTTTGATTGAAATTATGTTTAATGTATTTTGCTGCATGATGTCCAACATAAAGAATAATATATATTTTCCAGAAACATTCCTGTAGCCTTTCAGATACAAAAGCACTGTTTTTAGGTCAAAACTACTCCCGTCTGCAAAGATTCTGTTACAGTGTAAGATTCTTTGGTCATTTTATATGGCTATAAAGAATATTTTTTTCTAATCATGACCAAACGTAAGCTGTTACCTGTTTGGTTTTAATTTTATTTTTATTTTTAACAGACATAAAAGAGAAATGGGAATTGATTCTTCCCTTAGACTGCTGTCAAGCACCAGTTATGTTTCCATAAAGAATCTGTAGAGACTGCCTGGCATGAGTACCAATCATTAAAAACTGCACTGGTACAAGCTGAAGAGTAAATTAATCATTTGTTAGAAGTCTTGATGTTAGTTTTAGATACCTTTCTAATAGAAGTGTTTCAGTGCAATCACAGATTCTTGGAATCCTGGGTTACACAGTAAGGAAAAAAATCCTTAGGCAGAAGTTATTGGCCTACTGTTTAGAAGTCTTTGGACTGCTTAGTGTAGGAGAGAGACTTTTGAATAGTCATCCAATTATGGCAAAACTGGTATAGGTGAAAGGGAAAGGAAGTCTGTCAGTCAGCTCTTAACACTGTTGGTCTGAAGAAATGTAGTGCTGGTAAGAACAGTACATAACAGCTGTATGCTACTTATTATACAAAGCATAACATATTTTTCAGTTTTTAGGGCTTCTATTTTTAATTAGTGCTTTCCAGTGCAACATTAGCATAAAGGGAAAAGAAGCAATTGCATTTGTCTTCGGTGAACATCAACTATCTTAAATATCAAGATGATATTGACTTCTGCTGGGGGGCTACAGAAATTATTCTGTAATAAATAAATCTCAATAAGGAAATACCAACTTTTGCAAAGAAAATTCATTATTTAATTCAAAGGATAATATCCGGATATTCTCTGAACTCAGAAGTTGATTTGTTACTGTCACATATGTTCTAAATATTTTCATTAAAATGTTTGTTTACCTCTATGTTTTTTTAACTGTGTTTCTGAAGTTAGAGGTACAGAAAATAATGATTATTTGCCTTTTACCATCGGTAAATAACTGGACCTTTGTCAAAATGAACGTTTGAGTTATATCTTCAATATTACTGATCTTTCTGAGAAGCTGCACAATAGGAATTAACCAAACATTTTTTGAGCAAAACAAGATGGAGCTTCTCATGTATACCAGCAGCAATTTCAGCTTATTTCAATGTCTGACATGTAAGTTTTCCATTTGCAGACTTAGATTATGGTAATTGTAGTAGTTCATTAACAAATGTGTGATTTTTTTTTTCTGCAAATCCTGCTCAGCTGAAACGCTCTTTAAAGTCTTAGCAATGCCAAAATATTTTGATTGTCCTTGTTTTCAGGAGTGCACTTTGTTTAAAGAGAAGATTTATGTATGCAAAAGAAAAAAGTTAGGAACAGTGAAACTGTTTTCCACTTGGACTTGAAAACATGTATTTCTGTGTTATATTGGTGTAACAGTATTGGAGATTTTGAAGTCTCTTAGATTCAATTTTCCACCTGTAAAAAACATAAAACTGACACAGAATTGTGAAATCCTCATGCTGAAATGCAATTATGCAGAACCATGGAAACATTTAAACAACATCCAACCTCTACACAAAGATCTGTCCTATGTTAAGAATTTCTGTAAATTATAAGTGCTATATAATCAAGAGTGCCCTATGTAAATATAGGCCCATGTGATAATTTTAACACATTCACACAAATAGTGTATGCTGCCAGGTAGGAGTGGCTCACTGCTTATATTTTGACAGTATAGATTTAAATAGCTATAAAATAAATATAAAATCTAATATACAGATTATATCTAATATTTATTACTTTGATACAGAATATTATAGAAATATAGAATACTACTGTAGGTAGTTGGCTCTTCAGCAATCAGTGTAGGCCAGCACCTTCCTGCAGGGAACTAAAACATTACATTAGTTGGCCAAATTCTGCTCACACATATGATGCTTGGTATTCTCGTTACACAGTATATATATGTCAATGTACAAATGACTACAGAATTGCTTTCACAATTTATGTTAGGATAGAAGGTGTTTAAGTTTTAGGTCAGTCCTGGTCTTATTTATAATGACTTTAAATGCTTAAATAGATCCAAATCAATGGATTTAGCCCATGTAAGATATCAACAGTCACCTGGAGAAGCCTGTTTCTCTGACTCCAGAGGGAGCCTCTGATCTTGAGGGTGCTATCTCAGCACTTTGGGTTGCCTTAAGATCTCATGGTGGTATCTGGGTCTCATGCACCTAGCCATTGTGTCTGTAGTGTCCTGTCATCTGAAGGCCCACAGGTTGCTGAGACCCTTGAAAACCAAGAAGTTGTTAGCCTTATGTGAGGAACGGAAAGACAGTAAACATTTCTGTTCATGGGGCATTATGGAACTGCAAAAAGAACATTTTTCTGTGCTTCCCTTACTTCTAATCCATCTATTTGCCATTGCAGTAGTATGGTAGCCAGGTTTATTTTGTGTTTAGAGACAGGCAACATCTCCCTATTGATGGATTCTTTTATGCTCTGTCAACCACACAGAAATTAGTTTTTCAAAGAGAAGCTACAGATTCTTAAAGTATATCAAAAAGATGTCAAAATCTTAAGATCAGCTCCTTCCATGTTTCTTTCTAAGCTGACTGGCTTTTATGTGCCATAAAGAACAGGCCTTAGAAGAAGGTATCAAAGAAATCTTTGCATGATTTTAACTGAGACACACACATCAGGCCCAATTGTAGTCCTCTGTGTTTCTGATGAAGTATTGACTCGCTGAGTCTCCTACTAAATGAGCTGACTGCAGGATATGTAGTTCTTCACATCTCTTAGTCAGTAGATATTTCCCTATTACAGGGGGAGCAGAAGCCCTTGCAGCTACATAGTTCAGGACCAGCAAGTGCTGGAAAAGGTCCTCATCTGTTTCTGTTGACAGTACTTGTTGGCACATAAATCAGTGCCATTAGATGAACAGAGCATTTGGTCCTTTCTCTTTTTACAGAGGGTTACAGTATTTGAGAATGTTTTGCATTCAGGCAAACTGCATTGATTGACATAAATGATATCTGGTTAACCTTTTTCCTTACTCATTTTCATGAAGTATGTTTTAAAATTCCTATCTTAGTTTAATTTTGCAGATACCTTACTGCAATTTACGATAGTATAAAACAGAATGGCTTATAGAAGTGATGGGTTTCATTTCATTAGAGAAAAATATCTACGATATTTAATGTACTATATACTAGCTTTAGGTCTAGTTTCATTTGCTCTTGTCTTCCCAGCATAACAGCCACCATCCATGGCCTGTGTGTATGCCAAACACCCAAAAAGAGGACAGTGCCTTGAAAGACCTCTTGCAGGATTTTCTGTACTGTTACCTTTGCCATTTTACTATGAGAATGAATGTGGATTTTCTCTTTGAAGTACAAGTAAGGGCAGAATAAATCCATTGTAAGAAGTTATAATTTGTTTTAAGTATGATTTTTATTGTATCAGAGGAAAAATTGAGATAGTAGCGTGAAAATTCAAAAAAAATCTGCATACCTCAACAACCACAGATATTCCAAAGATTTTTTTGAGTCATTTGACATTTACTAGGGCTAATGTTATGTATTTTGACAATATTTTCTGTCTGCCTATTTCTTTGAGTAATAATGATTTATTTTTTTCTGTTTAATAGTTTAGTGCTACACAGCAGCAGTTAGTGTCATTTAAATACTTGCTTCCAAATCTTAAGATCAAATTCAAGAAAAAAAAATATTTGCAAAATTCACTTCTTAAGTTGTGTATCTGAAAATAATGCTTAGTTTAAATTAAGCTGTGTTGTTTTCAACTACAGTGTTAGTAGCTTTCACAGAATCTCTTTTATGTACTCTGTAAGTGACACTCCACTGCTGATTTTTCCTGTGTTTTTTCTTCTGAAACTTTTGTTATGATCCACAATAAAATTTGCACCTGAAATTCAACACTGTATGTTGTTGTTGGGCCAAAATATGACATATATGAAAAAAAGCTAGGAAGGCTGTATGGTTTTATGTTCTCAGAGGTTCCAGACCTCTCTATTCATCTAAGCCATTCTCAGTTACCTCCTTGTGGGTGTACTTGGTGTTTATTATTATTTTCTGTGGAGGCTGGTGACAGCTGAAAGTGGGTTGGCAGAAACGGACATGTAAGCATATGCTCAAAATGATTAACAGCAGCAGGTCAGGAAAATTTTGTATTTGACTCAAAATGGCAAAGCATGCCTTTGCTTTAATATTGCTATGTTGAGCTCCTTTGGGAGGATTTTTCAGCTGGTTATAATGTTTTCTTCAGGGTAATTTTGTTATTTAAAATTTAACAAAATGTTAGTGAAATGTTAAAATTATCAAAATTAAACTGCCCATTTCAAAAAATAACTGTATTTAGGAAGATTTTACATATTATTTTTTTTTATATAAACTTGTTTTTGTTGTGATCCTTTAATGCAGGAGCTTCATTGCAGAACTTGGAGCCAGTCAAAACTATAGGCATCTAAAGTGTCACAGATCAACAGTTTTAGCCACTGAATTACTGGAATGAATCCAGAAGCAGGTGTTTGATCTTTAGTCTGCTTGTAAAGCTGAAACTACCAAGCAGAGCTGCCCAATCAACAGGGTGAGTTTTAATGCCATTCTTCAATCCCAGCACTATTACTCAGAGCTGGAAAGAAGTATATCTGCTTTGGATCCACGGTCTTAAGCCCCACCATAATCACTTCCAGCTTTTGTCCCAAATTTTATGGGTTTTGTCCTGAAGAGCAAGTAGACTTGCAGTCATATATTACAGTACAATAAAAAGGTGATGGTCTAGGTACCTCAATTTCTTCATTGTTAATCACCTAGAAAGTGAAAGACATGGAATGGATTGCAATGCCTTTCTGCACCCACGGGGGTAATTTCTCCTCTTTAGAAGAGTACTGTAACCTGCAATATGAATTTAAGGTGATAATTTTTTTTTAATGTTGGTAGCAGGGCATTGTTCACTTCCAAGCTGCAGTTGCACCTTTATATATAAAATAATTCCACGTTAACTGCAAGAGGGAAAAAGTGCAGAAGAGGGAGCATAACTGGTGGTTATGTTGAAAAGGTGGAAAAGGTTTTGAGGGAAGAACATACCTTCAGAGCCTCCTCTAAAGCTTACCCCTGTATTTTAACCTATTAAAGGGTGATAGAATATTGAAATATTTTGAAGAGGGACCAGAACTAACGTCATGTCTATTTCAATGGAAAGTTACTGCTGAATTTTCATACAAGATTCTGCTGTTACTTTGAGTGCAAAACAGCCCCAAGAAGATATTGCTACCCCGCACAACCTGCAGCCTGAGGTAGGTGTGCATTTCCTCACCAAAGCAAGTAATTTCATCCACTGCTTCCCTCATCCATAAGCTGTGTTTAAGGAAATTGACAGACATGACTGCATTTTGTCTGTCAAGTCAGTTAAGGTTTCTTGGGCCTTCTCTGAATGCAAGTATTGTATTGAGTGCTGCATCTCATTTTTGGATTCCAGGTAGATTAAAACTAGAACTACTCAGCTGACCCATTGAGACTGGGTCAGCTCGGAACATGTGAAAGATAAAATTCTAGGAAATTTTCAAATACAAATTTAGACGCCTTCAGGGGAAGGTGGTGTTTGAACAGATTTTCCAGAATCGCAACTTTAGTGCCTGTATTCTGTGTGAGGAGCTGAAAATCTGCCTAGGGCCACACCACTTACATGAACTGGGGACACAAGGGAGAACTGGGGAAACAAGGGAGAGCATCTTCTGCTTTCCTTCTGAGATCTCCATGTTGTGGCAGACTGCACAGACTGTTTCCTACTTGGTTCAGTTTAATATTATAGGGTACAAGCCTGAAAACATCTTTTGACTATTTCTCCCTCTCCTGGATGTTTGCACTATTCCAAGTCAATGAAAATTAATACTAAACAAGCATGTTGGGGCTCTAAAGTCTTCAGCTGTGACTAATCAGCACCATTTACTGCTTAGGACTTGTGATACTGGGAAGAATGAATGGTACTGACTGTAGTTATGTCTCTGAATGATTAGTCAATTGGATCACATGCCAAACTTATAACTGTTATATTAGTTGTACAGATGAGAACTATTAAATTATGTCCAAGGGGTAAGGGTAGGGTGAAATCACTGTGTCCAGAACCTTTTTTATTTGTTTTTATTTACATTTATTTATTTGTATTGGATGACAGTACCTAGGTAAGGGGTGAGTATGTTATATTTCTGTGCACAGTCTGAAATTTGGGAAGTGCTGAAGGCTGTAGCCTCAGTTCAGGAAAATACTAAATTTACTCCAAATATGTGAAAAAAGTCCTCTGTGGTTTCTTGGAGTCTGTTTTGCCTAGAAATGGGTAAATATCCATATCACCGTAGGAGGCCCCAGTCTCATTTACACCGAGGCCTGCATTATATTGTCTTCGTATCTAAGCACTATCCTATGTAATTACCCCTTCAAAACCATTACCTTTAAGGCCTGCTTTTCTCAAAGGACCCCTGACAGCCGCTTTGTAAATTAGCTCATAAAAGATACATGCTTCTTGTCCACTCTTGTATTCATTAAGAGATTCACCTGCATGAGGGTTGAAAAACTAGGATAATTTATGTCTTGTCTTGTGAGGCCCTTGGAGATCAGATAACTAAATCTGTTGCAGGGTAGCAGAATGCTGCTGTCTGCTTTCAACCTTGGCACTAAGTTTTAGGCAGACATAACTCAGGTGTGCTTGCTGTTTGTTTCATATCCATGCCTTCAGGGTCTGTTGCACTAGCAGTTCTGTGAATGTATGTTATGATACAGTCCTCAACTTGAAAAGCTCACAGACTTGCAGGAATGTGGGAGGAGGAAAGCTATAAATGTACTTTACACAGAAGATTATGATAGGTATGGATTAGGAATCGAGTTGCTCTTTCAGTACCCAGTGTGTGTCTTTATGTTGTGGTGTAAAATGGAGCTAGAAAGTTATTAATGAGGCTTGTGTGGAATGCCAGTCCTTAGGAAAAAAGGGACAAGAGGTGTTACAAAGGCTTAAAAGATTACCACACTGCCTGTGGTAAAGATATCTAGGTGCTCAGCATCAAATCACTGAAGCAAATAAGTATGTGCGTTTGTTAGGTTGCTTGGGGAGGAATTTTGCCCATGAAAATACTGCAGGGCTATCACCTAGGAGGTAATTTACAGCATTACAAGGTCCATATGTGTGAGTTAGACTTTTGCGTATGTGGTAGTAGCTCAAACACTTTAACATGTGTATTGTTAAAATAATAGAGTACTGAAGGTGTCAATCCTGGATTTCTAAGCCTTCCGGACCTCCAGATCTTTCTGAACTGTTTACAGTGGCACTTGAATAGACAGAAACAATATCATTGGAGCAGATCTGTATCCTTAATTGCATAAAAACCTTTTACATCTACTGCCTGAAACCAGCGCTTAGTTCAAACAGTGTCATAACCTTTAGCTTTATTTTTTTGTGTGTTATCAGAACAAATTAACCCATTAGCTGCACAGACTCTATTGTGAGTCAGAGGTATATGACTCATGAATAGAACACATTTCTATTCTGGTTCTAATTAACTTGGCCTCCACCCAAATCCTTCTTGTAAATGAAAGATACCAGATTAGCTGAAGTATATGATACATACATGAAGTATATGATGGTTTGTACTAAACTTACATGTGTATTTTTATGAGATAATGCTACAGAAAGATATCCCCATGAATGCATTACCTTAATAAATAAGCAACAGAAGTGCCTTATTTCACAGACTGTTAAAATATTGTAATTAATCTTGTTTGTTTACCACGTAAACTATAAGAGAACAAACAAACAAAAAAAGAAATGCACAAATTTAACACATTGAAAAATTAGACCTAGTCTTGATTCTGATGAGTGGAAAAGATGTTTATAGTTGTTGTATTTTCAGCAGAGGAGCCCAGAAGTGCAATATTAGATGGCATTTCCCTTTATGATTTTCATAATTTTGCTATCTGGGAACTTTTATCCTCTATCTCTCAAATGTAAAGGTTGAATAGCTCAGGATCCCTATCAGTACTTGTATTTGAATCACTGTGCCCTCTCTTAACAGAGCAATACCAAACCCAAATAAACTTCTCATGTGTAAATTGCAGAGAGGGTAATCTGAGCCATTACTGAGTACAGCCTTTCAAAACAGAAGCAGTACAAACTGCATTTATGCAATTTTAAAGGAATAATTAAAAAACAAAACAAAACAAAAAACACACATTAACAGCCCATGCCTGTCTGACCTTCACAGAAATCAAGGCCTGAATCTTGTTTAACTTAAATCTTAACTTCTTTGTGTCATTGTAGGAACTCTTAATGCAAACAAGAAGCAGGCACACAGGTACTTGGTGGAGCCTTCCCACAAGAACACTATCTATCTCTAAAGAAATAAACTCAGAATAAAAGCAGAGGGTAAGGGGAAGAGAAAGAAATATCTTTGCACAAATACTTTATAGTTTGCAGAATCCTCATATAACACAGTAAGGGTGGGCCAGGTGGCCATAAAATAACCTAGATAACCTAGACAGATAAATTAATCGGGAGTATGCTCCATGTGCTACCAACTGTCCTGTGACTAATAAGTTAGTTTTCTACTTTGGCAGGTTCCATGGGTTTACTTGTAGCATGAAGAAAAGAGCTGGAGGGAAAAGGTCAGATTTTTAAAAGGGGCTTAGTTCGAGTGGCTCTGAAATGAAAACTTGCATGTGGACCACTACTTCCTAGACTCTGCAGTCCCACAGTTTAATTCCGGTTGGTTAGAGCACTTAATCAAGATATGCCTTCAACTCTGCCTGCCACCAGTTAGTCCTGATAAAGCCCTAACTGGGCTTCTCATTGCCTAAGTGGTGACATTAGGACTTCCATCAAAGCAAAGAAATTTGAGGCACGTATCAGACTTAGTTTCATTTAGCCAGAG